GCGTGAGATCGTGTCTGTTTGTACATAGAAATGCAGTCACGTAGATAGACAAACCGTTCAGGGCTTTGTAGGTAAGAACCTGCACCTTGAATTGGGACCGGAAGATGAACGTCAGCCAATGTAACTCCTTAAAACAGTGGGGTTGACCGCTCACTGTAAGTCGCACCAGTCAGTAAAGATAAAGGTTTTCCCCTGACATGAAGTCCAGTTGTGTCCGACTTTGGGGGGTGGTGCTCATCTCTTTCTAAGCTGAAGAGCTGGCTTTGTCCATAGGCACCTCCAAGGTCATGAGGCCGGCATGACTGCATAGATCACCTATTGATCTACCCACATTTGCATGTTTTCCAACTGCTAGGTTGACAGGAGCTGGGGCTAACTGCAGGAGCTCACACCGCTCTCCGGATTCGAACCTGTGACTTTTCGGTCAGCAAGTTCAGCACCTCAGTGCTTTAACCCACTGTGCCGCCATGCCAACGTTAAGTAAATCCCATTGATTTCAGTACAGAAAGGAACACTGGGATGGAATATGTGATGCTGAATGGACCGAAGAGGGGAAAAAATTAGCACCCTACGTTGGACCTATTAGTAGCCGAATACGGCAAGTCTCCTCTCCTTACAAGAAAGGGAAGGTGTGTTTAGGGGGTGAAGGATGCGAATCCTCATTTCGTCCCCCAAAAGCTGCCCTTCCTCATGAATCCCAGGCTGTTGCCATTTCCAATCCCTTCCTAATTTTGGATGTACCTGCATTCTTCTTTTCCCTTCTGCTCAAATCAGAGTGCCACAAGAATGTAGGCTAGGAAGGGGCCCCCAAAGGGCATCTAGACACTGCTTGGTTCTGTGTTTAGAAGGGGCCCTCAAAGGGCATCTAGGAGATACTGCTTGATTCTGGTGTTTAGAAGAGGTCCCAAAGGGCATCTAGACACTGCTTGATCCTGGTGTTTAGAAGGGGCCCCCAAAGGGCATCTAGACACTGCTTGATCCTGGTGTTTAGAAGGGCCCCCCAAAGGGCATCCAGACACCGCTTCATTCTAGTATTTAGAAGGGGCCCCCAAAGGGCATCTAGACACTGCTTGATTCTGGTGTTTAGAAGGGGCCCCTAAGAGCATCTAGATACTGCTTGATCCTGATGTTTAGAAGGGGCCCCCTAAGGGCATCTAGACACACTGCTTGATTCTGATGTTTAGAAGGGGCCCCCAAAGGGCATCTAGACACTGCTTGATCCTGATGTTTAGAAGGGGCCCCAAAGAGCATCTAGACACTGCTTGATTCTGGTGTTTAGGAGGGGCCCCCAAAGGGTATCTAGACACTGCTTGATTCTGGTGTTTAGGAGGGGGCCCCCAAAGAGCATCTAGTAGATACTGCTTAATTCCTGTGTTAAAAGGGATTCCCAAAGTGCATCTAGACACCACTTAAATCTGAGAAGGGGTCCCCAAAGTGCATCTAGACAACGATTGATCTTGGTGTTTAGAAGGGGCCCCAAAGAGCATCTAGATATTGCTTGATTCTGGTGTTTAGAACAGGCCCCCAAAGGGCATCCAGACACCACATGACTCTGGTGTTTAGAAGGGGCCCCCAAAGGGCATCTAGAAATTGCATGATCTTGGTGTTTAGAAGGGGCCCCAAAGAGCATCTAGACACTGCTTGATTCTGGTGTTTAGAAGGGGTCCCCAAAGGGCATCCAGACACCACATGATTCTGGTGTTTAGAAGGGACCCCCAAAGGGCATCTAGACAACACTTGATTCTGGTGTTTAGAAGGGCCCCCCTAAGGGCATCTGGTAACGGCCGACAGGGAGCTCTGGCGTGGGCTGGTCCATGAGGTCACGAAGAGTCGGAGACGACTGAACGAATGAACAACAACAACAAGGGCATCTAAACACCGCTTGATCCTGGTGTTTAGAAGGGGTCCCCAAAGAGCATCTAGACACTGCTTGATTCTGGTGTTTAATGCCTTACCCCTGATGATAGTGGTGGTGGTGATGAAACTCATCCACTTCTCATCCTCCCCCAAGATACCCATACACATCTAAATAGTCTCTGAGTTTGCAGTCTCAGGCAAAAAGGTCTATGTATGTCTCCAAAATCTACATCTCACCCAACCATTGAGTATAAAGGGGAACTGTTATCCACAGTGGTCTATCCATATTATTATTATTATTATTATTATTATTATTCTGACACAAAAACACAGTATGTCACATATATATGCTTGAGATATATCTATATCTATCTATCTATCTATCTATCTATCTATATAGCTTTTCTCTTGATTGTGATGCAAAACAACCCACGTCATTAAAAACACTGCAAAGTAAAACACACAACAGGTAATATTAAGGTTGAATTAAATGTGCATGATTAAAACACACCCCATCCTATCTCAGGAGGAACATTTCCAACATCTCAATGGTCTATGTCGTTGAAGAGAGGGAGAAGGTATTCGGGATAGAGAGATTCCTGGAAGGTATGTATTGAAGAGAAGTGTTGTGTGGGTTCACAATTGAGATCTCCCTGTCCATTTTGTGTTGTGGGCACTGCCATTCAGAGTGTCCTCACCTTATTATTATTATTATTATTATTATTATTATTATTATTATTATTATTATTGCACCCTTTCCATCTCCATAAAAGAGAGGAATTAAAGAATCATGCTGACTGTATTGGCTCTACACGTATTGTATGTATTTCCTGAAACTAATATCAGAAAGGGCGCCAGTCTTGATGCAAGACACTGATGTGTTTCAATAAAATGTGTTGTAACTGCGTGGTGGAAAGAGGTTGGGCTGGATGGCCTTTGGGGATCCCTTCCGAATTGAGGACTGTAAGGATCTATGAGTTGTTTGGAAGGATTTGGAGGCACAGAAACCCAACCCAAGGTAAGACCTTCCCAGTGGGGATAGTGGTAGGAATTGGGAAAAAAGCAACTCAGACTGGAAAGGGAGGGAAAAGGCAGAGAGGAAAGAAAGAAAGAAGGGATGAAGGGCTGAAGAAAGGGATGAAAGGATGAAGGAAGGGATGAAGGAAGAAAGAAGGAAGGGATGAAGGGATGAAGGTAGGAAGGAAGGGCTCAAGGAAGGGACGAAGGAAGGAAGGGATGAAAGAAGGGATGAAGGAAGGAATGAAGGAAAGAACGAAGGAAGTGACAAAGGAAGAAAGGAAGGGCTGAAGGAAGGGAAGGGAAGAAGGAAGGGATGAAGGAAGGGACGAAGGAAGGAAGGGATGAAGGAAAGGATGAAGGAAGGAAGGGACGAAGGAAGGGTGGGCTGAAGGAAGGGATGGATGAAGGAATGAAGGAAGGGCTGAAAGAATGAAGGAAGGGATGAAGGGAGGGAGAGAGGAGGAAGAAGGAAGGGAGGAAGGAGAAGGAAGAAAGGAAGGAGGGGAAGGAAGGGAGGAAGGAAGGAGGAAAGGAAGGAAGGATGGAAGGAAGGAAAGAAGGGTAAGGAAGGGAGAAGGAAGGAAGGGATGAAGGAAGAAAGGAAGGGAGAAAGGAAGGGAGGAAAAGGAAGGTAGAAGGAAGGGAAGGAAGGAAGGGCTGAAGGAAGGATGAAGGAAGGAGAAGGAAGGGATGAAGGAAGGGATGAGAAGGAAGGGAGGAGGGATGAAGGAAGAAAGGAAGGGCTGAAGGAGGGGATGAAGGAAGGAAAGAATGAATGAAGGAAGGAAGGAGGGAGGGAGGAAGGGAGGAAGGAAGCAAGGAAGGTATGAGGGAAGGGATGAAGGGATGAAGGAAGGGTGGGCTGAAGGAAGGAAGGGCTGAAGGAAGGGCTGAAGGAAGGAAGAAAGGATGGGTTGAAGGAAGGGTGGAAGGAAGGTATGAAGAAAGGAAAGAAGGGCTGAAGGAAGGGACGAAGGAAGGAAGGGATGAAGGAAGGGATGAAGGAAGGAAGGGCTGAAGGAAGGGATGAAGGAAGGAAGAAAGGATGGGTTGAAGGAAGGGTGGAAGGAAGGTATGAAGAAAGGAAAGAAGGGCTGAAGGAAGGGACGAAGGAAGGAAGGGATGAAGGAAGGGATGAAGGAAGGAAGGGCTGAAGGAAGGGATGAAGGAAGGAAGAAAGGATGGGTTGAAGGAAGGGTGGAAGGAAGGTATGAAGAAAGGAAAGAAGGGCTGAAGGAAGGGACGAAGGAAGGAAGGGATGAAGGAAGAGAGGAAGGGAGGAAGGAAGGGACGAAGGAAGGAAGGGCTGAAGGAAGGTATGAAGGAAAGGTGGGCTGAAGGAAGGAAGGGTTGAAGGAAGGGATTCAAGGAATGAAGGAAGGGCTGAAGGAATGAAGGAAAGGAGGAAGGAAGGACTGAAGGAAGGGATGGATGAAGGAATGAAGGAAGGGCTGAAGGGATGAAGGAAGTAAAGGATGAAGGAAAGAAGGAAGAAAGGATGGAAGGGATGAAGCAAGCAAAGAAGGTAGTTAGGTAGGTAGGAAGGAAAGGATGAAGGAAGGATGGGAGAGACGAATCAATGAAGGGAGGAAGGCATGAAGCAAGCAAGGAAGGAAGCAAAGAAGGGAAAGAGAGGTCTCCCTTCGCAAATCCCTCCTGCAAAACCACAGTCTGCCAAGCCTTTATTGCGGATGAGGCGCCCTTCCGACACTCCACGCAAGTTGCAAACACGCACCTCCCTCTCTCTTTACGCCTTCTCATTTGAAACATGGCACGGGTCCCCTATTTCCTAGCGCACCCCCTCCCCGAATACCGTCTTTCCTCTGCGGAAACCATGGGACCCCGTTAAATCAGGGGAGCTGGGTCTCGCTCAGCCTGCGTCTTGTGCTCGACTTCATTCCCACGAGACAGAGACTTCGGCGCCGTATAGACGCGTGTCTCGGGGAGGAGGAAGAGGAGAGCCCTCTCCCTGCCTTAACCTGAGCCTAGCATTGCGTTCACACGAGACGGAGGGGAGCAAGAAAGAGGAGGAGAACCCCAGAGAAGGCGACCCGCCCGACCCTGCGGCTTGGAGACACCCCCCCCCCCCAATTCTCTCTCCCCGAAGCCCCCCACTGTCTCACCATTGCTGCTGCTGCTGCTGCTTGCGGGAGGGGCGAAGGGCAGGTGGTTGTCCCAGGGGGGTGCCGGGGGGTCCCTGGAGGAGGGGGGCATCTCCATCCCCAGCGAGTGGCAGAGGGCCAGCGCCAGGCCCAGGGCCCGCGGGAGGGCCATCGCCATCCGCCCCAACGCCGGTCCCTCTCGCGCTCGCTTTCCCTGGGAACCTCACATCCGGGGAGGGCACGGCGGGCAGGCTGGGGGGGTCCCAGGTAGGCAGGCAGGTGGGCACCCTCCTCCTCCTCCTCCTCCTCTTCCTCTGCCTCCTCTCCTGCCTTCTCCCCTTCTGCTGAGGATGCTGCTGCTGCTGCTTCTCAGTCTGAGAGACTGCGGGACTCTTCCCTCCGGCAGAGAATGAGGAGAGGAGGAGGAGGAGGAAGAAGAAGAAGAAGAAGGGGAGGGGGAAACACAGGGAGGGAGGGAGAGAGAGAGAGAGGGAGGGGCCAGGAAAAGGGGAGGGGACTAGTAGGCAGGGATGGGGAAAGTTTCTCCTGGAGGACCCTTCTCCTCTCCATCCCCTCCTTTCCCCATCTTCAATCATTAATAATAATAATAATAATAATAATAATAATAATAATAATAATAATAATATGTATTGTCGAAGGCTATAATAGAATCATAGAATCAAAGAGTTGGAAGAGACCTCATGGGCCATCCAGTCCAACCCCCTGCCAAGAAGCAGGAATATTGCATTCAAATCACCCCCGACAGATGGCCATCCAGCCTCTGTTTAAAAGCTTCCAAAGAAGGAGCCTCCACCACACTCCGGGGCAGAGAGTTCCACTGCTGAACGGCTCTCACAGTCAGGAAGTTCTTCCTCAGGTTCAGATGGAATCTCCTCTCTTGTAGTTTGAAGCCATTGTTCCCATTGCGTCCTAGTCTCCAGGGAAGCAGAAAACAAGCTTGCTCCCTCCTCCTCCCTGTGGCTTCCTCTCACATATTTATACACGGCTATCATATCTCCTCTCAGCCTTCTCTTCTTCAGGCTAAACATGCCCAGCTCCATAAGCCGCTCTTCATAGGGCTTGTTCTCCAGACCTTTTATCATTTTAGTCGCTCTCCGCTGTTGAAAAAACCATCACTGGATCCCACTCAATTCGTCAACTATCGGCCTGTTTCCAATCTCCCCTTTTTGGGCAAAGTCCTGGAACGTGTGGTGGCCTCACAACTCCAGGCATTCTTGGTAGACACGGATTATCTGGATCCGGCACAGTCTGGCTTTAGGCCGGGACATGGTACCGAGACAGCCTTGGTCGCCTTAGTGGATGATCTGCGCCGGGAGCTCGACAGGGGGAGAGTGTCCCTGTTGGTGCTGCTGGACCTCTCAGCGGCCTTCGATACCGTCGACCACGGTATCCTTCTGGGACGCCTCGCAGGGATGGGTCTTGGAGGTACTGTTTTGCAGTGGCTCCGGTCCTTCCTAGAGGGTCGATCTCAGAAGGTGTTGTTGGGGGACACCTGTTCAACCCCACAACCATTGTCTTGTGGGGTTCCTCAGGGCTCAATATTGTCTCCCATGTTGTTTAACATCTACATGAAGCCGCTGGGGGAGATCATCCGGAGTTTCGGGGTACGGTGTCATCTGTACACGGATGATGTCCAACTCTGTCACTCCTTCCCACCTGCTACTAAGGAGGCTGTCAAAGTCCTGAACCGGTGCCTGGCCGCTGTAACGGTCTGGATGAGGGCGAACAAATTGAAATTAAATCCAGACAAGACAGAGGTACTCCTGGTCAGTCGCAAGGCCGAACAGGGTATAGGGTTACAGCCTGTGTTGGATGGGGTTACACTCCCCTTGAAGACGCAGGTTCGCAGCTTGGGAGTGATCCTGGACTCATCGCTGAGCCTGGAACCCCAGGTCTCGGCGGTGTCCGGGAGAGCTTTTGCACAACTAAAACTTGTGCACCAGCTGCGCCCGTACCTTGGGAAGTCTGACTTGGCCATGGTAGTCCACGCTCTGGTTACATCCCTTAGACTACTGCAACGCTCTCTACGTGGGGTTGCCTTGAAGACGGCCGAAGCTCCAACTAGTCCAACGCTCGGCAGCCATGATTTTAACAGGAGCGGAGCGCAGGGAGCATACAACCCCCCTGTTGCGCCAACTCCACTGGCTACCGATCTGCTACCGGGCTGAATTCAAAGTGCTGGTGTTGGCCTTTAAAGCCCTAAACGGTTCCGGCCCAAGCTACCTATCCGACCGCATCTCTGCCTATGAACCCACCAGGACTTTGAGATCTTCCGGGGAGACCCTGCTCTCGATCCCGCCTGCTTCTCAAGCTCGGCTGGCGGGGACGAGAGATAGGGCCTTCTCGGTGGTGGCTCCTCGGCTGTGGAACGCCCTTCCTACGGACATTAGACTAGCACCATCTCTAATGGTATTCCGCAAAAAAGTGAAGACCTGGCTGTTTGAGCAGGCGTTCAAATAATGAGTGCAATGATTGGTTAATGAACACTGGAATGGAACAATGGATGACGAATCTGGAACATGTTTTTGATGATGAGACGATGGCGAATGGGTATTGTAGTAACTGTTTATTAATTGTGTAATGTGTTAGGTTGTTAACTGTTTTTATACTGTAGCACTGAATTTTTGCTGTTCGTATTTGTTGTGAACCACTGTGAGTCGCCTTCGGGCTGAGAACAGCGGTATATAAGTAAGGTAAATAAATAAATAAATAAATAAATAAATAAATAAATAAATTTCATGGCCATGAAAATGAACACAATCTGGCCACTACCAGTATTAAAAAAAACCCTCTAAAATTACAACAGTAAAACAACAGAGGGGAAAACAATCAGGCGCATCTAATCGCCTCTCAACAAAAGATTGCCCCAGGCACTGCCCGGCTATCAAATGCTAATCAAGGTGGGTCAGTTGAAACATTCACACTTAGCTCCAACAGAAAAGAGCCTTTTGTCCCACCTTGGTCATTCCACCACAGATATATAAACCCATTTTTCCTACTTCCAACAGATGCCATAGATGCATGCAAAACGTCAGGAGAGAATGCCTCTAGAACATAGCCATATAGCCTGAATAAACTTACAACAACCCAGCCAGAATTGAAAAGTCGACGACAGATCCCAAGTGTAGACTCTGCAAGGAAGCAGATGAAACAATAGATCACATCATCAGCTGCTGCAAGAAGATTGAGCAGACAGACTGCAAGCAGAGGCACAACACTGTTGCTCAGATAATCCATTGGAACTTGTGCCACAAACACCATCCGCCTGCGACAAAGCCATAAAAAGTTACAGAAAATAAACACGTCAAGCTACTCTGGGACTTCCAGATTCAGACTGACAGAGTTTTGGAGCACAATACTCCTGACCTCACAATCATGTTAAAAAACAAAGTATGGATTGTCGATGTTGCAATTCCAAGGCACAGCAGGATTGAATAGAAACAACTGGAAAAACTGGAAAAGCTGACACGATATGAGGATTTAGCGTTGCTGGCCACTCTGAATCTCATTAAGAGAAGAAAGTAGAGAATATTATTATCATTATTGCCATATTTACTCAAGTCTAACGCGCCATCCAATCTAATGAGCACCTCTATTTTCGAAACCCCGAAACACAAAAATGTATTTACCAAGTTATGTGACTCTAATGTGCAACCTAATTTTGGGAAGGTAATTTAGTCAAAAAAGGTGAACATTTGCATAAAAACAGTATTAGGCCAATTATACAACAAAACATGGGAGTGCACAAATCTCAAAACTGCACAAAGCCCAACTCTGCAGTAACTTAGATCCTTGCTTAGATCCTTTCTTCCACCTAGTTGGACTATCTTAAACTCCTTTTAATTATCAGCTTATAACAGGATATAGCAACAACAACAACAACAACAACAACACACATACTATGAAAATCCCAGGCCCTTGGGAACAGCCTGATATCCAGACACAAATCCAAATTTAGACTCACAAGAGTTTTGGAGCACAAGACTCCTGACCTCACAATCATGGGAAAACACAAAGTATGGATCGTTGATGTCACAGTCCCAGGTGACAGCAGGATCGAAGAGAAACAACTGGAAAAGCTGACACAATATGAGGATTTAAAGATTGAACTGCAAAGACTCTGGCACAAACCAGTCAAGGTGGTCCCAGTGGTGATCGGCACACTGGGTGCAGTGCCTAAAGACCTTGGCCTGCACTTAAACACAATCGGCGCTGATAAGATTACAATCTGACAGCTGCAGAAGGCCACTTTACTGGGATCTGCGCGCATTATTTGCTGATACATCACACAGTCCTAGACACTTGGGAAGTGTCCGACGTGTGATCCAATTCAACAGCCAGCAGAGTGATCTTGTCTGCTGTGGACTCATCTTGTTGTGTTTCAAATAACAACAACAGATGTTTCATACATGTAGCCTGAAGATGATTTTATACACAATATTTTGTAATAATTTTGTGCAAACAAATAAGGTTTGTATGTATTGGACAATCAGAAAGCAAAGGTGACACTATCTCAGTCATTGCAGATGCTCAATATCTATCTCTATCTATCTATCTATCTATCTATCTATCTATCTATCTATCTATCTATCGTCTATAGATAGATAGATATCTTACAACTTTTAAATCATAAACACACACACACACAAGATGTCGGAACCCAAATGACTTACAGAGCCAGACTCAAGAGTATGTCCAAAAGCAGAGTTTATTAATGCAAATCAAAAGGACTCAGAGTCACTTACTTCAGTGTCCCTGGTCAAAACTCAAAAGTAGCAGCAAGTTTCAGCTTAAAAACAAACTAAAGCAATAATCCGGATTTTTCAGAGAAAAGATCCAGATCAAACTGAAGTGCTTCCAAAGTCATGCAAAACAACACAGCAAATGAAGGACGAACAAAGAGCCCGTGAAGAAAGAGCCGTAGTCAAATGAAGTCCGAGGTCAAAGAAAGCCAAGTCCAAAGTTGTGAGGTTCCAAAGTTCACGTAAGCAGCTTCATTGTCAATAACAGTCCAAGGTCAAAGAAGGGGAAATCCGCACTCACGAGAATACAAGCCAAGTTGTAACACAAATGGGAGCAGCAACCTGCAGATCCAGGACCCAAGCCCAACACAAAAGCGGCAGCGACAAAACCCAAGGCACGAAACCAACACTTTGCCTTCTGCAAAGTTCTACTATTTCAGTACCTACTTTTATCTTATACCTCATAATCCGATGATGAGCTGACCTCCACCCTGTCGTCATCCCTTACAGCTGTCCTTGCCTCCACACCTGAACGCTGACGCCCATTCCTCCAACTCTTCGACCTCTTGTCAAGACTTAGATCTCCCCAAGACTCCACAGTATCTCCTGATTGCCAATCCCCACCATCAGAAAACCCCACAAACGTGTCACTAGACGTTGGCTGAGT